GAACAACAAAAAGGGTGTAAAAAAAATAGCCAAGGTTGTAAAGAACAATTAATCATAGACTCAATAGTAATGAGACAAGCCCAAACTAAAAATAGGAACATCCATATGATGTACGTCGATTACAAGAAAGCATTTGATTCTGTCCCACATAGTTGGTTATTATATGTATTGGACCATTATAAAATTCACCCTAGTCTCATAACATTCTTAAGAACAGCCATGCTTCATTGGAAAACTAAATTAAAATTAATAAATAACGAGTTAACCACTGACTTGATAAAAATTAAAAGAGGCATATTTCAAGGAGATGCGCTTAGCCCGCTTTGGTTTTGTATGGCACTCAACCCCTTATCTGAACTGCTAGATAGTACAAATATAGGATTTAAATTAAGATGCAATAACTCATTCCACATACTCTCACACTTACTTTACATGGACGATATTAAAATTTATGCAACTAATAACACTGAACTTAATAAACTAACTGACATTACACAATCATTCTCGACAGATATTCATATGCAATTAGGGGTAGACAAATGTAAAACTCACTCAATTAACCGCGGCAAGACAGAATACAATTTTTATACACTTGATACAGGTGAACAAATAGAACCAATGGATGAACATACGACGTATAAATATTTAGGATTCCGCCAGTCTAGACAGATTCAGCAAAAACAGACAAAATTAGAGTTAACACAGAAATTCAAAGCCAGAATAAGTCAGATTTTGAGAACCCAATTAAACTCACGCAATATCATCAAAGCCATCAACACGTATGCAATACCAGTTCTTATTTATTCGTTTGGGATTTTAGCCTGGTCCCAGAGCGATCTCATTAAATTACAGCGCACAATCAACACACACATGACAACCAATAGGAAACATCACCCCAGATCGTGCACACAACGTCTTACATTACCACGGCAAGATGGAGGGAGAGGTCTCATCGACATACAGAATCTACACAACAATCTTATAGATAAGTTACGCAAATATTTCTACGCCCAAGCCGGACAATCCCATCTTCATAAATTCTTAACCGATATAGACAAAAAATTAACTCCGCTCAACTTAAACGACACAAACATTCAACCAAAATTATTGAGCAAACAGCAGAAAATAGACTTATGGGCACAAAAGTCTCTACACGGCAGACATCTCGCCGATCTCAGCCAAACACACGTCGATAGAAAAGCGTCGAACGAGTGGCTGCGGCGCGGAGAACTCTTCCCAGAAACCGAGGCTTTTGTGATCGCTATTCAGGATCAGGTTATCGACACTCTTAACTATAAAAAACACATAATCCGTACCCCTAACCTTCCTACCGACTTATGTAGACGATGCCATAGCAGTTCCGAAACCATCCAACACATCACTGGTTCTTGTAAATCTATTGTACAAACTGATTATAAACACAGACATGACCAAGTTGCAGCAATAATCCATCAAAATCTAGCTCACAAATACTCATTTATTTCAAATAAAACTGCTTATTATAAATATAAACCCAGTACAGTTCTAGAAAATAATGCATTTAAAATATATTGGGATAGGACAATAATTACCGACAAAACCATACATTATAATAGACCGGATATAACAATACTAGACAAAACTAACAAAATAGTTTTTATTATAGACATAGCAGTATGTAACACACACAATCTCCTCACGACGCACACAGAAAAGATGACTAAATACACAGACTTAGCAACGGAAATAAAAAGGCAATGGCAGGTAGATAGAGTTAAAATAGTACCCATTGTCATATCTACAACTGGTGTAGTACCGAAGACTCTTCAAGATAGCCTCAACACATTGGAAATGCCGAAATCCTCTCTCATACTCTTACAAAAAGCAGTCCTTCTTAACACATGCCGTCTCACACGCAAATTTCTCGCTTCATCCTCATCATCTTAACTTCATATCATCATCCCTTTTTGGCACACTTGGCTAAAGCCCGTGTGTTAGATTTTGTTACCCCTTTAAAATAAAAGGGAGACCAGACAAGGTATAAAATGACATAATAATAATAATATTCTACCACATTCACACAACGCCATCTAGTCCCAAACTAAGCAGAGCTTGTACTATGGGTACTAGACAACTGATATAAATACATATATTATACTTTTTTTGTAAATACATACATATTATACATAGAAACACCCAGACCAAATCAAACATTCAATGTTCATGCACAAAAATGTTTGACTTCGGCGGGAATCGAACCCGCGACCATTAGAATAGCAGTCTGTTACACAAACCACTACGCCATCCGGTCGTCGATAAGCTGAAGAGGTATGTTTGTTTATTTAAACCTGGTTATCTCTTTAAACTATTTAGCTGATTTGAATAATTCTGATAGAGTATTCTAGGAATTTAAAGACTGTGTACATAGTAAAATTAAAGGCTGTGCCTTTAATTTTTAATTTTACACTACGATCTGTAGAAGCGCTCGGTAGTGAACTATAATGGAATATGAGATTCACCCAGAGGTATGTCGATTGTTTGTGCCCAATAACTACAGATGTGATAGAAGTCACACACCATCATCATCAGGTCGTTGTAATTCCCCATTCCTCAGGCACTTACAGCACTCAACCCTCTCTTAGACTCAAATCCAGACTGTGACTTGTTTGCAGGTAGATGGCAGACGATTTTGTCAGGATGTCTGGTGTACCTACTGCGAGAAGCCTGTGTGTTAGAATTAGCGTAGTTTTATATTGTAAATAGATAAAGTTGTTGTAAAGTTTCATTTATTCTGTATTAACGTTATTCTCCTAATTAGTAAGTGGCCAGAGGCTGTTCTGTTAAAAAATAAATAAATAATAATACTCGATTTTGCCTCCGGCTTCAATCGCGTTGATTCAATACTGGTATCCATTTGTACTATTTTCTAAGATGCAAAATCGAATACCTAGATCCTTATCTTCTAGATCCTCTTTTAGGAGTTGCGGTGTAAACCATAACAAACACCCAAACTTGTTACTTTAATCTACGCGTTCAATCAGCCCTATTTGGAAATTCTGTACATTTAAAGTATCATAATTACCTATGAAGTGCAAAAAACAACTATATTGTACAAATGCAAAAGATTAAAATTGTTGCTATACGTGAGCAGGTCAGTAAAGCCTATATCTTTGTTCTTTTGCCAAATTACATCGCAATCGGTTAAGAAGTTTAACCTTGAAAATGTAACAGTGTTACTTACTTTCAAAATCATACATATACTCTTACATACATACTGCTGGTAAACATACTTATTTATATACTAGCTGAGACCCGCGGTGTTACCCGCGTTTGTTGTTATAACCGCGGGCAACGCTGCGGGGCGAAGCTAGTCTAAAAAAAGTAGCCTAAGTTACTCCTTATATCATCAGCTATCTGCCAGTGAAACTCCCGTCGAAATCGTTTCAGCCGTTCCAGAGATTACCCGGAACAAACAGACAGACAGACAGACAAAAATTCTAAAAAATGTTATTTTGACATATGTACCGTGTAAACATACATATGCATTTAGTAAAAAGCGGTTATTTTAATATTACAAACAGACACTCCAATTTTTATTTATTTGTATAGATTACTAAATACTTACAAATATATGTAAGTATTTTATAATTTATAAATATCAATAGATAAATGACACCCCAGACATAATTTTCATTACACAATTATTTGTCCTGGTTGGGAATCGAACCCCTCCAGCTTAGTAGTCAGAATCACTAACAACTAAACCAACAAGACTGTTGGAAGTGCTTTGCGTGATACAGGTTCAATTCAATAATTACTAAATAGTTTGGACAATCCTCGCTAGAGTGCGCTGAAATATGTTTTTACTGTCTGGCGACAAACACGGGCTGCAGTAGCCTATCTAGGAGTGCAGTACTCAACCCAAGTTTTAGTTGACAATGTGAAAATTGTCATCCATTGTACTGAATACTTGTATACCCAATTTTTGTATAATAAAATTTGTAAAATGATTTTTTTTTAAATAAACACCTAAATACCTATAATAAACAAGAATATCTCGTAATTTCATGCTTATTTCTGTTCTTTACATATTTTTACAAACATTTGGTTTGAGTATTCATCCATTATTCGATTATAGTCTTAATTACGACGTTTGAATGTTCATTTTCCTTTTTATGTTAATATTGCATATATAGGTTATCAGAACTCCTACTACTCCTACTAGCTAGGTCATGAAGGTTGGACGCAACTATTACGTCAAGCTTGTGGACTGCTACTGATAACAGCGGCGGTACTTGACCCTGGCATTCTTATAAAAGCTTGTCGCTTCTAGCCTTATAGTACTAAAACAGCTTTAAACGCTGTGACTAGTATTGTCTAACAAGTTTGTATCTCGTCTTCTAAATGAATCTCGTTTTTTTATTAATTTCTGAACAGACTCGATAGATTCTTTGTTTAAATTGGTATAAGTTTATCTCCAAAGAGGTGCAATTAATATAAAAAAAATAATAGTCTGTGTGTCAAAGTCTATGATAGGACGTTTTTATAGCTTAACGTTGACGACGCACTATACTTGGTCCACTTATTTCCTGTTTGAAGTTTGAAACGATTTCAAAAAGAACAATTTTTTTTTATTGTCGGTAAAAATTGTTTATTTATAATAAACAAAGAACTTAAGTGACAGATTCAACTTACATCATAAACCGAAGAGAAAAAAATCACTGACGGAAACATTGAATCTAACGGTTGTTGTAGGCAGGAGTTGCGCAGACTAATCTTTCATAACCAATCTGAGACATGAAAACAGCAGTGTATTAGGGGTTCAATGTTTTCACAATGGCGTTGACATGTCCAAATAGATAATACAACAGATATAAAAAAAACTAACATCGTCTCATAATTTAGTTAACATTGATTTATAAATATACAGTTTTACATACATAGAAGTAGAACGTAACTGCGTTTACACGATAAATAACATTTACAAGTTAATAATGAGGCATTTTTTACATTCATTTTAGGTACGGGATCCAACGCTCTCATAAGGACTCCAGATGGTCAGCAGTATGGTTGTGGTGGATGGGGATATATCCTGGGAGATGAGGGCGGCGGTATGTACCACATTGTGATCCCTTATTAGCTATACAAATAAAACATTAGTCCTATTTAAATATTCCATGAAAGTATACATTTATCGTGGGAGAGCCATGCACCATGTTCGGCACATATGAGTGGACTAGACACCACTGGTGTTTAGCATGAGTGAGTTAGGTTAGGGGAGAAAATCCCCAACCTTTACCGTTAGGAAATCCCCTCGGATACCACCTGTCGGTGGCATGTCGGACTCGAACCGACTAAAACCGCATGCCGTCTCGGGTACTAATAGCCGGGGAACCAGGTATACCCTAGAAAGGAAGTCCCTGGTGCCCCGACATACCTCGGGTCATCTACAGACGAGTAGACTACCCCCCCCCCCCCCCCCCCGTGTGGGAACCCCATGTGTGTGTGTGTGTGTGTGTGCTCCCTGGGAGCGAGCGCGCTTCGCAACGCGCTCGCCGCCACCCCGGCCTGCTTATGCTAGGGTGACAGATGGCCTCACCTGTCACCCCCAGGCCTGCGCTTATGGAGGACGGAGGTCGTTCTGCGACCTCCGGCGCCTGAGTCGCCTGCGGTACCTGGCCCGTTCCCGGGCCTGGCGGGCCACGCCGGGCACTCTGCCAGCGTGTGGAGAGCCGTGTCCACGGTCTGGCCATCGCAGTGGTGGCACTCAGGCGTTGTCTCCTTGCGGATCAGACACAGGTGATCCCCGAAACATCCCTTCCCAGTGATGACCTGCGTCAATCGGTATGAGAGGGTCCCGTGACGCCTCTCGAGCCAATCCTCCATAACGGGTCTTACCGCCGCGATGACGGCGTGCCCGGCAACCTTTACCCCTACAATTCTAAGAATGGATGGCGCTAGAAACTTGCCATCATGACATCAATTCTGCTATTTTATGTTAATGTATAAGCCACTGTCATTCCACTGACAAGCTATTAAGATGCCACTGACATCGGTCAAAATATCGGTATTCTACTAACATAAATTCACAGTCTCAATAGATTGTCGATGTAGTGGCAATAGCTCATCAATGGTGATATCAAAAACATTGCTATAACTGGCAAAAAATATCATATCCTTACAAATTGAAATTGTACCGTTTACCAAACTATTACACAATTTAAGACATCGACGACATTTTGTATCAGTAACTAGTCATCGGGAGGCCATTTTGATCTCACATATTTAGTCGAATACGAAAAGAGCAAGGCTATTCCGACGACATTTCATCGACAGTCTATTGATACAATACTTATTAGAATAGCAGAATTGAGGCCCAGTTGACACGTGTGCTCGTTTGCCCCTATCTAATGAAAAAAATTGTGTACTGCATGAATAATTTTTTTTAAATTGAACATGACATCTTCATTCTGCAATTTCTCTTACATCAGAATACAACAGAACTGGTTCATATAATTTAAACGTTTTACAGCGTACTGGATAGCTCACAAAGCAGTGAAAACCGTTTTTGATGACGTCGACGGCCTGGAACCATCGCCCTATGGAACAGATCGCGTGTGGGAAGTCATCAGAGAACACTTTGATGCTGATACCAGAGCAGATCTGCTTCCACACACTTACAAACACTTCGACAAGAGTATGTTTGCTAGTAAGTGCAAGGTGTATAACCGTGTAATGTATAACCTATAAATTATCTATAACCTGGATTTGAGGATAGTTATATTGAGACAAACGAAAGAATGAATAGCTTTCGATGTGCCGGTTTGATGACTATAGCGAAAGGAGAGTAAGCCTGAGCGCGCAAGACCCCGCTCAGGAGGCTGGAGACATGCACCCATTCCATGCTTAGGTGTCAATATATATCTTAGCACTTCAGTAAGTATGATTGCAAGAAATTAAATACCAGTAGGAGAGCCATGTTACGGCACACATACGTCTCGACCAGAGTAATACCAAGGCGTCAGAAAAAAATCTTAACAATTATTTTTCCGCTAAGGGAGTGAGTGAAGTTACCGCAGGCCCAACTCCCTCCTCTCCTCCTAATTTTGTGAGGCAAGCACTCAAAAATAAAAACGAAACAGATACCTGCGGCCAAACCAGAAGGAATGCTTGAATATTCAAGCCACACAAGTATTAACCGTTGAAATAAGTAAAAAATCTATTTCCATTTTCTTCAATCCACAGGTGTGACATCAAAATTAGCTTTATTAGCGTACCAAGGTGACGCGCTATCGCTAAACTTGTTCAAATGCGCGGGAGTTAAACTCGCGGCTCACATGGCTGCTCTCGCAGTGCGCAGTTCCGCTAAGCGCGTGCGTGTAGTCTGCGTAGGTTCTGTGTGGAACAGCTGGGATATACTTAAACCTGGAGTGCTGAAGGAATTAGCAAGGAAACAGGTTTGTACTCGGATATTGGCATAATCAATCTCTTGTTAGGCTTTCTTATGTAAGAATCAAAAAACTAAATCCAAATGTAGGTACTGGTAGGTAAATGTAGGTTCGATCTCTCAAATTTTTTTTTTTTTTTATATTTTTAAATTTATTTCAGAAAATATGATGATGAACTTTCATCCTCACCTTATATCTGGAACTTTTTAGCGTAAATAGTGTTTCACATTACATCGCATCAATAACCTTAAATAGTCCATTGCTGGGCATAGGCCTCTCCTTAAAAAGGAGGTTTAACTTATCGTTAACAATACAATCTATGAATCTATTGTCTTAAAGTACTGCAACAAGTCTCAAAAAATTGTAGAATAAGCTGAAACGAATAGGAGAACGTAATCTTAACTACATTATTTTGTTCATTTGTTTTTGAGAGAAATTAATGAAATTAATTTGGTATTATGTAAATTTTCCATTTGTTCAGCGTCGCCATACTTACTTTTCAATTGATTGTTATTTGATTTAATACGATCCAAATTATTCTAGGTGAAAACTGAATTCGAGCTAGTTAAACTTCGAGTTTCATCTGCATTGGGAGCAGCTTGGCTTGCAGCGAAGTATGTCAACTACGAATTACCACGAGACGATTCAGCCTTCTGTTCAGTGTTTTACACTTACCACCCAGAAGAGGTTGCAAATGGTAACGGGGTGGCTAACGGAAAAGGGGTATCTAACGGGAATGGAGTGTCAAATGGTAAATCAGTAAATGGTAAACTAAACGGTAACAAAGTAACGAACGGTGATGGTATACATTGCGATTTTAGCTAATGTTTTCTCTAAAATGTGGGTAGTTGCCTAATTTTTGCAAAAATAAATTCAGTGCCAAAACCTTTGCCTTTCTACTTTCTTTAATTTGAATGAGATTAATAAGTTGACTTAATTAAATACATATCTAATTATTAAAATATATTTATTTTGAATTAATTATATTTTTTGGATAGTGAAGTTCAAACAGTGAATATAAACCTTATCGAATGGAAAATAAGTTTAATATTCATAAAAATTAGCCAATAAGTATACCAAAATTTTGTTTTCTTTTTGTGGAAATTACGGCGTAAATTAGATTTTATTGTTAAGTACCTAATCGATTTTGATATACCAAATAGATAGTAGACATTAAAATTTATTTGTATTTTTTGTATAGAGATTAGAGAAGCTTTAAGATTGTAAATTAACGGATCCTCATTCTTGATCGTCGCCTCGCTGACGTCATTCAAGCCATTAGGGGATCATGCTTTAGTTAGTACACCGTTCTACTCTAACACCACAATGGTGTTGACATTGGGCAGGTCTTTTTCACCGTCAACTATTTCAATCGTCTAAAGAAGAATCAAACTTCTATGATTAAGAGTACTAAAAGACATACTCAGAAAACACTCCATGTAATACAGCTTCTTGGTAATAAAAAGGTAGTTTTATTGGTTGCATTAACTCCACGTACAGAAATACTTAGAGAGTAATTGTTTGAAAAAAATACTTAATCAACTTCTTATTTTTATTTTAATGATATATCTTGTACTGAATATGAATATGGATTGATGAATAGTTTTAGATCGATTTATAAATTAGTGTGACAGAATAACTTGTAAAAACAATAAAAATATAATGTCGACGCTTTAAAGGCAATCTTTACAAAGCGACAGACGTAGATATACACATATATTTAAAGTAAGAATATACAGACAGGGTTATACCTATTGACACAGAAAAATCTGACTTTTCGAATGGTATATAAAACTTATTTTACTCACTTTTGTCGCTTAGTAAGGATTGTCTTTCAAACGTAGAAATGTATAATTCACTTTTTTTGTACTGTTTTATGAAAATAAAGAGCGAAGTCTTTGGTTCAATAGTTCCAGATCTTGTTGGCTAATGTATACAATATTAGAAACTACAGCCTCGAATCCAAGGCCATGAGTAAACCAGTGAAGAAATTAATAATATTATAATCATATCAATGTTAAATTATTATACAATGGGTTTTAATTTAGATCTGAGGAATTGCTTTATTAATCGACACCGCTAGAGATTGCCATTGGTCCGATATTTTGTTACAATTAATTAAATATTTGTTTTTCGTAGTTGGTGTAACTGGTATAACTTGAACTCTATTACCTACTAACTTGATTTTGTACATGACATCTTTTTTTTAATTAAACAAAAAAACTGGTTCTTAACTGTTTTGCCTTGCCTATTTATATATAGATAGGCATTGGATTCGTGCAAAATACGAACGTTCGTTTAGAATAATAACATCGTGACAATTTTAAAAAGCGAGCTGGTCGGTCTATGAAAGTAAAGGGATTGTATTTTAAAAACATCTGACTAAGTTTGACTGTCTTGTCACTTCTTTTTTTTTTAACGTGTGAAACCCCCTCGGGCCGAAATCCGAAGGGGTGGGTGGTGTGTCGGAATCGGACCGACTAAAACCACACGGTGTGCCACTCTGCGCCTGTAACAGGAGGGATCCGGGAACAGCTGTTATTAAGACATCCGGACCCCTCCTAGCGCCTGCTCGCAACGGTGCGGGTATCACCTTCGGGTATATTCTCTATTTAGGCGACGTCCGGCACACGAATTGGGTCCGAGTGGAGATCAATCTCCCGGGCCCTCCGCCGCCTCCTTCTGCGAGATGACGTCTTCGCAGCAGGATGCGACTGCGATAAAAGAGTCTTGTAGTCCTGTCACTCCTGACACAGCTTAATTAAAATGTATTGAGAAGATATTTTTTTTGATTCATTCGAAATAGTTCAAGTTCTTTTTACTAGATGGCGCTAGTCACTTTCTGTATATCTCAAGACGTCACTGAGGTGTCGGTGTCACTGAATGCCCATACACATTTCTACAATATCATATAATACTTGGGTTAACTGATATAATAATAATTCCAGTACGGTTCATTCGTCCTTTGCTGTCCAAGCTGTAAATCACTGGAACCCGCTCCCACTAGAAATCAGGATGTCCACTAACACATCTACTTCTGAGATTCGTGTAGGCAAGCTCTATACAGACTTGCTGATGGAGTAATCAGAATAATATGTAATAGGTGTCTTTATTATTTATGTATGTATCTAAATTATAATTTTTTTTTTCTTATTTATACTAATATATAATACACATAACACATGGTAATTTAGTAATTCATTTATTAGTTTCAAATAATAATGTACACCTGCCACATACTGCTCTGTGACACCCTAAGGTTTGACTGAAGCCATAGACATTTTCTTCATAAAATAAATTTGCAATTTATTTTATTTGGCACTGTCTTAATAAATTACTCTTCACATTAATAAATAAGATTATTCGTGCCGATCTGAAGAATATTAAATATATTACGCGTTTGAACAAGTGACGGCAGAAAATAAGACATATTTAAAAAATATTATCTAACTTGTTTCCTGTTCAAGGTTTGAAAATTCAAATTTAGTACTGCTTTTTTTTTAATTCAACAGGCCCTCCCCTAATTAATACACATTTGCAATACACATAGCATTGGCTATCTAATGCTCTAAAACATATCGATCTGATTGACTGTAAAAATGTTGTAAGATATTTTTTTAATAAACTTATCTTTAATTATTTTTGTAAATAGTTATAGTTCCTATTTGTATTTTGACATAAGTTACATTTTGTTGTATAGTGTTAGAATTAATGTTTTAATACATATAGTTATTTGTGTTAAATAATTGTATTGGAAACAATATAAATATATTTACTATTTATAAATCATAAAATTGTTTTCACTCATTGCTTTGACTTGGTGTATTCCTTTTGTTAACCTCGGGGATATCAACAAAAAATACACTACAATGTGTCACGTCATGTGTGTAATATCATCATCAGCTCTCGGCAATGGTTTGTAAAGGCACAGATAATCTATAAAAGTATATTTCAGATTAAAAGTTTTCATTTAGTTTACCTCCGCAGAGAATTAAGGCAAAATGAATATAAGTCTTATGTTTATAAAATATTAATACCAACCTTTTCCCCAAAAGAAATGAGTTGACTTCACTCCTGTCGAGGCGTTCCTTTTGTACGGCCTTATAGAAAATTCCTTCGTTGCTTTTCACAGAGTGACAGGTTACTGGACCCCAAACACATTACTCCCTCCTTTTTTTTCCGTGCGGAAATCCCCTCGGACACCACCTATCGGTGGCATGTCGGACACGAACCGACTAAAACCGCACGCCGTCTCGGGTACTAATAGCCGGGGAACCAGGTATACCCTAGAAAGGAAGTCCCTGGTGCAACACATTTCCCTCCTGAGACCCAAGGGTGAGTTTATTTCACATCTACTCGACCGTTACGGTGACCACGTTTGGCGCTGCGATTGGCCCGCACTGAAATCTTCACCAATCGAAACGCCGAACACCCTCGATGTCGAAACCGAGCTGATGTGAAATAAACTCGCGCTTGGCCCTCTGATTCTGGAGGTTAGAATTCAAAGGGCGGTAACGCAGTAGTCTCTTAAGTAGCTGGTGTCAAAGGACGGCGGTAGTGAATTGCCATCTGGAGACCATCTGGTCGTTTTCCCACCTATAGAACATTACAAAAAATAACTATCTATTGAAAAACTACGCACAATTGCTTAGGGAAGACAAAAACAACTTACATCAAGTGACTACTTTCCTTTTACTGATCATAAATTACTAGTAAAGTACCTACATACACCAAAAAACCAATCGCTTTAAATCAAGGTTAAGAATGGCTAAGGTCATCAGGTAGGTAAACAAGAGTAGCCTATTCTTGCATTTCATCTATTTAGTAGTGCTCTTTTAGTGTTTGAATGTGTCATTCTAGCAGGAATCGTTAAATTAAATACCTACGACCTTAACCGCTGGGGCTACAAACTTTGAAATGGCAGCTGTTGCTTTTCATATTGTAATTACCTATTAAGAAAGGATTTTTGGCAATTTCACCCCTAAGGGGGTAAAATAAGGGATGAACGGTTGTACGGAAAGGCCATTTTCAAAAATGAAGAAAGTAACGCAAGTACCTAGACCTAAATTTCTATACCTACTGCACTGTACCTTGTAAGATGACGTACGTGTGTAGCGACTGGGTACCCATAGTCGCTACACAACACGTACAAGTAAGGAACTGAATGTTTACATTTGCTGTAAATATTTACCTATATTGGAAAAGCCATGCATGTGTCCGTATCGATTGAGGAATAAAATAGGTGAATAGCTATCTCATTTCACCTTTCTTAGGTCGGTTTGATTAAAAATTCCTATCGAAATACACTTATGTAACGATAAGGACCGTAACTGAAAATTTATCATGAACCAGTACCACGATGATCCACAAGAAGCGGTTATTATATCGAGAATGGTGAGACTGTTCATTTGAAAGTAGTGGACACCAGACTATAGTACGTTTAATGTTGAAGAAACTGTCTTTTAGGTTTCAACGATTGAATCCAAAGTTGGTTTTCATAAAGTAATAATAGTTTCCGTAGGTAAGTATAATTTATACGGAAGCACACCTTCAATTTTTTTTAAGTTGCCGATTACTTCTACAAATATTATGTGAAGCATATTGACAAGTAAAACCTATTTAAAATTTAAGGAGTACGACGGTCGTGACTGAGTTTTTTAAATATTTTAACTCATGAAAAATAATTTACATTCATTCAGAATATTTTATATCTGTAGTCAATAACGTTATAATTTAATAACGTTACATTTGTTATCAACATATTTAGGAACACCTCTGGAGCTAGACATTAGAAAATGACATTTTGATTTTGACAATGTCACAGTTTCGCAATCTTATTGACAATTTCACTATCAACAATGAATATTTCGAGATTTTCTCGGTTAATACAAATCAAGCCTGTATTAAACATAAATTACAGATGTTCCTGTCGTGTAATTCAAGGCTCTAATAAATATAATAACAATCGTGAAAATAGAACTAGTTATTTTGGTATTCTTGCGGCAACCGCAGCAGTTATAGGTTATGTTAGTGTTAAAGAAAAATTGATAGCGGCGACTGGTTTTAATGATTTGAAAGGTAGAAGACAGAAGTATAACTTTATTGCTGATGTAGTGGCTGTGTCGGCGCCATCTGTAGTGTATATTGAGATTAAAGACACCCGTAGACTTGATTTGTTCTCTGGCAAACCCGTTACTTTGTCTAACGGTTCTGGATTCATAGTGAAGGAAGATGGGTTGATATTGACTAATGCCCACGTCGTGGTGAATAAGCCGAATGCTCTAGTAAATGTGCGGTTAATGGTGAGTGATGTTATCTTAACACATTATTATGAAGTGTTAAACATACACCCTGCTATAGCGGATAGAGCATCCGCTATAGCAGGGATTCCCAAACTATTTAGGGCTAAAGACCACTTATCTACAATGAACTGATATCTGAGACCCCCATAGCCAAATTACTGCATGCTAATCGAGTTGTTGAGTTTTTTAAAACTATAACTATGATTCTTTCTACTAAAATATTAGACATTTTTATAACAAGTTGGTACACATAACACAACTAATGCAGGATTTTAGGACCTTGTCAACACTCAAAATCAGTATTCATTAATGTCAACCCCTGGTAAACCAATTTCGACCCCAAGGGGACCACTTTGGAAATCCCTTTTCTATTCCATTATATTATTCGTAATCTATAGTAATAATATGATGGTAGTTATTTTTTAAATAATAATAATGCTTTTTAAGAGGATAGGCATACTGTTAATAAATTATTTAGAAAAATGAGTCTCACAAACAGTAACTGAAGTGAAAACTATTTATTATTTACAATAACGACTATTATTTGGGAAACCTTACTGTCTATACTCTCCCTGTAGTCAATTTGTTTTACTAATTTGGTAATTAACTTAAAAATATATTACTAAATTAAACGCTCGTAAAGAATAAATTAAAATAAGCTACATTCTCCCACTCCTTAATGAACAACCCTAAATAAAGCATTACAATTACTTATATTTCTTTAATAGTGTTTTGAAAAATACTACACAATGATATCTAGACATAAACCAAAGAGTGTTTTTTTGTAAATACTTACATAATTCAAAGCAGTACCTAGGAAGACATATTCATTCACATAATATTTTTACTGAGTGGGAATCAAACTTTTACAAAACCCACAAACCCCTCTCTCCTTGCTCTGCAGGAAGGTACGGCGAGTAATCTATGGAAAGCGGCAGTCACTTAACATCAACTGACCCAAGTGCTTGTTTGCCACCTGTAGTGTATATGCTTTGTATTTTCAATACTCCACTCTCAGTATTAATTGTATATTTTCAGGATGGTTCCATGCATACAGGCTTCGTAGAAGATGTAGATATGAAATCTGACCTAGCTACTCTTCGCATCCCTGTAACAGGATTACCAACAATGAAGCTCGGCTCTTCAGCTGATATACAGCCTGGCGAGTGGGTTTGTATTTCATTACTATCTAAATTAATTTGGAATTTTAGAAACGCAATTGTTGGGCATAAAGTATACATAACACCCATGTTATTAATAATACAGGTTTTAAAAAGCTATTTCTAATACATAAATAATAATAGTTGCTTATTGTTGAAAAAGGGTGAAGAAAAGAGGGTAAAGTGATATGTTGGAATCGAACCGACTAATACCATGCTATGTTTACTCAATTGAGTTGCAGAGGATCTCGCATCCCTGACAAGGAAGTCACTGAGAATCCTACTAAAATATTCAATTTGTGGATCACACAAAGTGTTGTGCCATATGGGGATCGAGCCCAAGACACTCAATGCAGTAGGAAGTGACGACGTGACCGCCTAAACAACTACGCTATTCTTGCAGATTTATTGCTAAATCCATTTTTATTTTGAATAATAGAAGGATATACTGCATACAGTGAGGAACAAATTTATCTGCATACATATTATTATTTAGAAACTTTATAACACAATTGGGGACGTAGACATACCATTTGATGTATACAAACACTTGTCATTTGCAGGTAGTGGCCATGGGTAGTCCTCTAGCTCTGAGTAACACAGTAACAGCTGGTGTAGTGAGTTCCACACAAAGAGGTAGTGAAGAACTTGGCTTAAGAGGTAAGTTTAAAAAATTGTGTAAAAGTGTTTATAATAGTTTAGAACTTAGTGTTTGAATAAACTTGATTTATAACTATTACCTATCTAAAGTCGAATGAAATTTAGCAACACGATGTGCCCCATTCTGATATTTTGATATGGTTAATAATGCTCAGATGCTATGCGTTTTCATGCTCCGCCATTTATTATATACATACTTATAAATGTTAGGGCTATTGAACGATTTTAGAATGCCTGGCTAAAGATTTGACTTTCTGATAATGGATATATAAAGTCAAAACACTGTTATGGGTAAGTAAAATTATTAAATTAGTAAATTTAAAGTATCCAGCTTAATAAAACAGTACTGATTTTAAAAACCCATTTATTTGAAACTGTTGTTTTTTATAATTCTTTAGTTTTCTGCGTAATTCAGCTCTTCACCGTTCGTAATTGTTCTAATATACTCGATTACTTTAATGACAATGTGAAAGAACATGACATAATGTAAGGACTTTAAATATGTAAAGTTTATTTTCGAAGATAATTTTTTTTAAAGATTATTATGAAGCAAAAGTAAAAAAAGCGAACTGTCACCCATTTATTCTCTTAAATAAAAATAATGGTAAGTAAATGTACTACAACATACCACAGAGATCTATAAACAGATATGTTTTTTTTTTAATTTCAGGCAAAGACATGGTCTACATTCAGACAGACGCTCCAATCACGTTCGGAAACAGTGGCGGTCCACTGGTCAATCTCGATGGTGAAGCTATTGGCATCAATAGCATGAAAGTCACTTCGGGTATATCGTTCGCTATCCCCATCGATTATGTGAAGGAATTCCTCGCTAAGAGTAAGTTGGATAATTTTTTAATCATGTTTATGTTTTGTGATTTAATCGATGCTTTTATCGTTACTAATGAAATGGGTTTTTATGATTTATGATGTTACTAGCCTTTGCTGGGGTTAAAATCGATTTCCTAAATATTTATTTCTAGGATTGCTATTCCATAATGTTCCGTTCTTTCAACATTTCTTGTTTAATTGACTAACAAACTTTTGCACTTATGAAGCCCGGTTTCTACCGCAAGTATAACTCGCAAGAGAAAACTGCATACTTGTATGCCCACCAACGAATAGTCGGCGAAAATAATTAACGACCCAAAAGAGTAGGACTGAATTCTCGCTCAGTTCTAGGGTGCGGAGCGGAGTTATTATGGAGTCCGATTAACTCGCAATGACAAACTACATAGTAGCGTTTTTACACAAAAGTGGTTGAAATGAGTCCATTGTGTCAGAGCAGCACAAAATTCTTGATTGATGGAAATGTAAACATATTTCATTTAAAAGGAGTCTAACCATTTCCCGCTCATTGTCCTTTCTTGGTAGAAACCCGGCTTAAGTAGTCAGATTGAGTTTCTCATGTTTAAATTAATTTTGGATCCGTCTTGTTCATTATTACTACTTACGTAATAACTATCGTAATTCTGAAATAACTTTTCACCAAATTATAGTGACTTAATCTATACATAATGGAATATTTCAATTAAAGCCGCTCTTTAAATATTTCAAGTCGTTAATTAGTCCAGTGTTGGACGTAGGCTACTCGCAATGTCTGCTATAGCACCTGATCCTCCGCTTCTAACTCCCTTCACGTAGTCAGTCCACCTAGCTGTGTGGCAACCTACCTTCCTTTTGCCGATGCGCGGATTCTACTCAGCTAACCGTTTGCTCCAATAGCCATCGGACCTCATGCAGACCACTACCGTCTCAGCTTGCTTATTCTATGGTATATTTATTGGCAACTCTTTTAGGTTCAACTTCATTTTCTTCCATTAATTCAGTTATCTTATGTAATGTTTACTGCTTGCATGCATGTTCTCCATTTTTTTAAATGACAATTTTGTTAAGCGGATCGAATTTTAACTGTGAAACTTTTTATACTGAATTTTTAATACTTCGTGGTAATTAGCTCTTTCTACAGGGAAAACGAAGGCGCCGCAAGTGTCCCGACGGTACCTCGGTATCACAATGTTATCGCTGACTCCTAATATACTAATGGAACTCCGTATGAGGAATCCTGAGGTGAGACTAGTAATAACAATATTTAACTTATAATTATTTAACTTAAAAAAAACCCGTTACAATAAATTACAATTACGTTTTATGACCCCTCTTCTTATCTCTTTAATTTCCAACCTTAAAGTTGGAAAATATTCTTTAAATTTAACTGGACTCAATCAATCGGGACCTACTCCTTTTCAAGTCTGTTCGGATCGATCTCCTACATTTATCAGACTGTTATTTGGAGCTTAGCCCTTCTTCAGCATACCGGCGATCTGGATCTTAATAAATGAGCCAAATTATTTTCTAATTGCGGGCGGCTTATACCCAGCAGTGGACATCTTTCGGCTGAGCTGATGATGGTGACGATGAATTGTATCTAATATTGATTTAATGTGTAATTAGGTACCCTATGTTATTTTAAATTGAAAATATAAATACAAATTTAGATTACTAGTTGACAGTATTTATATTCCCTTGCAAGTAATTGGAATGCTTGTTTTAAGACTGATGTAATGTCGATATAATATATAACCGAAAATAAATCAAACTTGTAACCTCTAGACTGTGAAGTTCCACAGTTAATTTCTTTTTGTTACACACAAACAAAAGGTGACTCGAAGGACCACCGTTTGTTACATACAAACAAAGAAGGCTCGAAGGACCACAATGTTTTAAATGTTTTGTCTGTGATACATTTTCCATTATGCATTTATTTATTTTATGCTCTAATATTCTTTTTTTGTTTCAGATGCCATCAGACATCGAACATGGCATCCTTGTATGGAAAGTTATTATCGGATCACCAGCCTACAAGTGAGTGTAAAGATTCATTTTAAAACTGTTTCTGTGAACGAAACGTCCGTTCCGTGTAGTGACGGATTAAGAATACAGAGTGTCACCACCCCTATTCATCCCGTGGGTGTCGTAAGAGCCGACTAAGGTAGCAGAACAACAGCACTGCAGAGAGAAGGAAAAATTGGAAAAAAACCCTATACCAACCCGCGTGGCCAGCGTGGTATAGTAGGTCAAAACCTCCTTTCTAAGGAGAGGCCTATGTCCAGCAGTGGACATAGGCCTCTCCATATTAAAGGCTGTTGATGTGATGATGTGAAAGAAACGTCGTACGAATCAGAATTTTAAGTCTTAGTTTACGTAATTTAAATTAGCCTTTTTACAAAGAACCTGAATAAAGGGATAGTACTGTTACGAGCCGGGATTTCGATAAATCGAGCGGAATTATGAATGAATATTACAAAGAGTAGTGTTCGTTGTGCGTTACTTGATACTATAAAATAATAAATAATATAATAAAATAATATACTAATCACATTTTTGTTCGACAGCGGCGGGCTCCAGCCCGGCGACATAGTGATCAGTATAAACGGAACCGACGTGCACACCGCCACCGACATCTACCAGATGTTGGAGAACACGACCGGCCGACTACTCATAGAGGTCGTCAGGGGGCGGGAGCGGATCAGCCTCAAAGTCACCCCAGAAATGCACTGATTACACGGAGAAAGAGAGATACACAGAGAGAGAAATAAGATAACAAAGACAAACTTACACGTTATGTAGAATAAAAATAAGTATTTTTTTATGTATTAAAAGACGCATTTCTAAGAGAATTATGTTAATTTTAATGTAGAATGCATGTGGTTTAGTCATATTGGTATTTTGAAAACACTAATACCTACATATTGCCAAGACTAATTATTAAGTTAGCTGGTATACAATAGGTACTAGGCTCTTTGTCGGTTCAAGTACCCTTTGCATAACTTTCTATTTTGACATCAACAATGTGTTATTTCTTAGTTCTAGTACAGAAGTACAGGTAATAGTCACTTACTTAATGTATTATTATTAATTCATTCTTAGAATTTAATAAATTATATTAATATTGAAGGATACTGACTCACTGTTGATATGACCGCTAGTACCTATAATAGGCATATAGGCTTTATTACACATAGTGGAATTTGTTATTAAAGAAGTTTAATTTTGTATGTAAATAGTTTTGTTTTATGTTTTATACATAGTGTTCATAAGAATTTATAAATTATGAAAAATTATGTCTGAAATATACTTTTATTTATTTGCCTTGACTTGACTTGCCCAGACTGAGAAAGACGTGACTTTAACTGACATAAGATTAGACGGGTGACGTGATACAAAAATTGGTTCATATTACTGACCTGTTGGCCGAGTGGTTCGCGGTCTTGACTTCTAAACCTAAAGTTGAATTTGGTTTGGGTGTTTCTATGTATAATAAGTATGTACTAACAAAAAAAAAGTAAATATGTATTTCTATCAGTTATCTAGCACCTATAGTACAAGCTTTGGTTAGTTTAGGACTAGATGGCGTTGTGTGAATGTAGTACAATATATATATATATATATATATATATTATTCTATTGTATTCTCCCGCTTTTAGTGTAGTTGTAAACCAAATATGAGGTAAGCGAAAAGTTAGTATAACTTAATAAGTAAAAAAAAACTATTTGTATTAGGCAATAATCCTACACAATCAATAATTGGAAAGAAACGATTGACTGCCATTTCAATTACAACAGTAAACGACTTAAATCAACCAAGTTGGGTAAAGTCGTGTTTTGATGTTATTTTAATTAAATATGATTTTATTTTTTATATTTATTTTGGTACGTAACCTTTTAAAGATTTATTTTATTAATGATTATTATATTTTGGAAATATTAAATATTTATTTTTAGATTTCCATAAGTCCTTTGAGTCTACTCGCAGAAGAAAGACTTTTACCCAGTTTTAGATCAAGTAAGTTTTTATTTCCGTCTTACCTATTTTACTTATGTTATTTTGGATTTCTTTACAGTTTGCTAGGGTTCACGACAAATGGTTTTTTGTCAAAATTTTACAGTGCTATGGCACAAGGCTGGTTACTCATGAATAACTTTTATTGTTAAGGTGTAATAATCGTTTTTAGCCTGAACAAGTCAATCAAAAAATATTATTACTTTACCTAAAGGCGTTTTTCATTACTTTCCACAAAATTTCTATTACTTTTATAGACCCATATTGTATCTGTATATGTATATATATTGACTGTTTTTCTCAACAGGTGTTGTAACAAATGATGGTAAACCAATATTGCGTGGTGGTGGCCCTGAACCTGAAGAAGAGGCAGAACAGCCCGTTACAGGTTTCCACTTTATACACCTTTTTTTTTCCGTGCGGAAATCCCCTCGGATACCACCTCTGGGTGGCATGTCGGACTCGAACCGACTAAAACCGCACGCCGTCTCGGGTACCAGTTGCCAGGGAACCAGGTGTACCCTAGGAAGGAAAACCCTGATACCCCGACGTACCTCGGGCCATCTACTTGCGTAAATGACCCCCTCCTGTGTGGGAACCCCTACGTCTCCTTTCTGCTCCCGAAAGGGGGGCGCGCGCTTCGAAGCGCGTCTCGCCACAACCCGGCCTGCTTCTACTAGGGTAACAGATGGCCTCACCTACCACCCCCAGGCCTGCGCTTATGGAGGACGGAGGTCATTCTGCGACCTCCGGCGCCTGAGTCGTCTGGGGTACCGGTATATGTACTAATAGCCGGGGAACCAGGTATACCCTAGAAAGGAAGTCCCTGGTGCCCCGACATACCTCGGGCCATCAAAACAATAATATCCGAAGAAAAAGGATAGATATGTCAATTTATTGCAATGTATATCTTGACGGCGAAAGCCTACAATTCGGTTACAGACAGGTGTCAGTTTACGCTTGCGGATTAGGTCCCATTCATATGAAATTTGTATGTAATTTTAGTATCGTTCAAATGAGGATTGGGTAGAAATACCCTTATGTCCTATTATGTGTGACTGTATTCAACCAAGTTGAGTAGTTAAGGGTAATTAAAAGCATAACAAAGAAATGAATAAACTCGCTTAATAAGTATTAGTAACGAGGATGCTTTGTACCGAATGTATTACGTCAAAATTTTAGCTATATTTGAGGATATGTTCAGCCAGTAAATGGTCATCAATTTCCAACTCCAAAGCAGTTCTTTTAAACATTACATTTCTAAGAATTGAAATAAGTAACTGCTGTTGCTTTATAGCCTAGCATTAGTTACTGAATTCGTAAATTAGTTTGTATATTTTGGTACGAATGACGTATTTAACTTGGTCAAACAATATAATGACATAAATAAAACTTTTTCCAGAGACAGGTAAATTTAAATCTATACATCTATATCTATATAAATAAATAAAATTGAAGTGTCTGTTTGTAATATTAAAATAACCGCTTTTTACTAAATGTATATGTATGTTTACACGGTACATATGCCAAAATATCATTTTTTACAATTTTTGTCTGTCTGTCTGTTTGTTCCTTGTAATCTCTGGAACGGCTATACCGATTTCGACGGGACTTTCACTGGCAAATAGCTGATGACATAAGGAGTAACTTAGGCTACTTTTTTTAGACTAGCTTCGCCCCGTGTCGTTGCCCGCGGTTATAACAACAAACGCGGGTAACACCGCGTGTCTCAGCTAGTATTTTATAAAATCCTTGAATACTATATTGTATTTACACCCTATAAAGTCATTAACAAATTTATTTGTGCCCATTTAGATAAATCAGAAGATAGTGAAGAAGACACGAATGCAAGAAACGATTCGTCAAAAACTTTGGTAGATGATCTAACTGTTTTGATCGACTATTTGATTAAAAACTACGGTTACGAGATCGATAAACAAACTAGACGAACAGGTACGAAAACGAAGTGTCACAACCCCTATTCAACCCGTGGGTGGCGTAAGAGCCGACTAAGGGAGTAAAGTACGCAGTAACTACCAACCCGTCTGGCCAGCGTGGTATAGTAGGCCGAAAACTCCTTTCTAATAAGAGGCTAATGTCCAGCAGTGGACTATTATAGGGCTGTTGATGATGATGATTGCTGTCTATATTAAAGCAGTTATTTCTTTCCTTTCCACGTGTGAGTGAGGTTACGAGGTTACTGGAGCCACAACCCTCCCCGTCCTCTATTTCGTAGGCCCAGGGTTGGAGCTCTCCATGGGAGGCGGTAGTCACTTACTATCAGTCTACCCTTCTACTCGTTTATTGCCCTATACAATAAAAAAAATGGGATTTTAAGCCAAAATTTTCCACTAACTACCCAAAAATATTTTATTCGCAGATGACAATGATGACGGACCATTGGACGAAGAATTCAGATCCTACAGCAAAAAGCGTAGGTTATTTTAATGAAATTATTATATTAATATAGTCAAAATCATACGGCCTCGTGTCCTCTGTCGGTCTGTCTCTGTCTCGGCCGAATCAACCGTAATCGGTTCTCATATAGGTACATCATAAAACAATTTTCGAGTGTCCTTAAAACTTCGATCCTAGCGATGTCTTTTGTAATTTGAATTTGCGGACGATAAGGGATCGTTCCGATGCGACTTTTGAATCGCATCGCAGCATTTCATCCGATTCTCAGTAGTTCGATCTCAAAATCGCATGTTAATAAAAAACGATTTGTAGATGTTCGATTTAGAAAATAACCGTTTTGTACTAAAAACTTGTTGATGCAAACCTTTGTAAATGATGCAAATATATTAACTATGATAAACTTTACACAAGGTTTTTCAAATTTAATTTTGAATCACACTATAATTATGCATTCAACAGCATAATTACCATTAATAAAACTTAAGGCGTCTTTCACTTAGATATACATCTTTCATAAACACTTCAAATTCTCAGTGTTAGTAATCTATTTTTTTAGGCAAGAGTAAGAAGAATAAACACGACAAGCATAAAGGATCTACTCGCGGAAAAAATAAAAATAAATCGCATAAAAAAAGTGCCGTCAAAAGTACTGAAAATTCTAATTTTGAAAATGACGTTAATTTAAGTAATGAAAATAATAATAACGCTAATGACGGCACGCATGATCAACCGCCAAACAATGAAAATTTTGTGTTTAATGCCGATGCATTGAATAGAGAAAATGATGATACAAATAATTTTGTTAATAACCTTAGTGGCAATGTGAAAGGAGAAAATTATAAATCTAATAATAATGATGGTGATCAGGCTGTAGAAACTTCAATTAATGTAATGGATATCGTTGATATGATCCGTAGCCAAATAAATAGTTATAGATCAAAAGTTGAAACGGCACCAGCAGAAATTTTACGCATGCCAATAGATAACGCGGATAAACATGTAAAGCAAAATTTTTCGCTTGCATTTTCTGTTCAAGTTTAATTAAATGTAATTATAAATTTTTCTTTTGTTAACATTGTACAATATCATTTTTTTGAAAATGGTTTTGTAAAATTGGGAATCCTTTATTTTAAGCGACATGTTTCAAAGCTGCATCAAAATCTTTGCTCGCATAATCTTAAATTTTTTTTGTGAATCATGTGATGCTGTTTTAAAAAAACAGTGCAGCAAAAATTCTGATAAAAGTTACCCTAATATACCAAAACTAAATCTGCTTATTTTGACCAAGTAAAAAGTGTATGATATGTTCAAATCTGTTGCTGATCAGATTTAAACAGATAAAATGATTCATACATAATTTATAGTATGTAAAGAGATGATATTTTCATGTTTTGATAATGATAGGGCCAAATTATATGTTAAACTTGTTAAATGATGAGTATAAACAATAATTGATACTCCCAAGTTCCCAACTTCTCTATACGGAGCTATACGCAGAGATCTTTCTCGTTGAAGTATTTGTGATAATGTCGTCTTATTGATCCATTTTTTGGAAGAGAGCAAATGAGGTACGACATTGGACCTGATAAAATTGCAGCAAACTCAAGTACAATGAATTACAAGGTAAGAACAACAAACCAAAATGTGGTATTTCTGGGCGATATGTAAGTAAAAATTAATAATTTTGAGAAAGACTTTAAAGGGAATTTCAGTAGATTTAACAGTTTGACAGTATTGGGAAATACTAATATAGAATTTAGGTAATCACTATACAGCACAATTAATTATTAGAGAAAACACATGAAAAAAAATGAAAATATTAATGTGTGTCTGGAAATGTATCAAAAGAGGTGTAATATACCTGGCAAAAAATATACTCATCAAGATTTTGGGCTTAAAATTAATTTACAATCTTACAATAATTACTCTGTAATTCACATTCATTTAGAGTTTTGGGGACCAAGAGTCTTGGAGAAAAACTCCCTGGAATCGATATTGCAGTGAAGTCGGTATTCTGTTCATGGGGTTTTTCTCTATATTCTTATCTTCTAGTATTGATTTTATTGTATCTAAATAATAAAAACTCCTTTTTTGTTAAGGTGCTACTTTTTTACATTTTTGCTAAGTATAAGGTAATCCATCATAATCAGGTGATTTTTAACCGACTTCGAAAACACTAAAGAGGAGGTTATCAATTCGTCTGTTTTTTTGTGTATGTTTGTTACGCGATATCTCCGTCAATTGTGGATCGATTTTCAAAATTCTTTTTGTAATCGAAAGGGTAAGCTCCCGAGGTGGTCCCATTATAACCAAATCAGGATCTGGTGATGGGATCCTAGAGAAATCGAGGGAAACCCTCAACTTTTGCGGCCCCGACAACGTGATTTGGCTTATTTCTCTAGCTTTATTGGCATTTGGGTTTAGTAGTCGTTATGACATGTTGCTGAGCTGATGATGTAAGGATCCTTGACCTTTGGGAGTTGTTAGATAACTATTTCAAAAATCTAGTCATGTATTGACCTTGTTTTATTCTTTTTTCATTTAATCAAATTAAGGCTTACGTGTTTGTAACAAGTTCTGTAATCTGCGTATGGTTCTGAATATAAGTTGGTAGTAATGTTATTTGCTCTTGGAAGTATCATGAGTCGGTATTCTGATGTATTTTAAATAAAATGGTATATATTGTCGCCCATAAATAAAACATTTCCATATTTATTATGAGTCTGTTCATACAAATTTAACCTTACCAAATATACTACAAAATCTAAATTTATATTGAAAATGAATACAATGTGGTCATAAGATGCTATTTGGATTAATACGCGAAGTTTAATTACTTTCACAAAATACAATAGAACAAATGTAACTAAAACGTAATATAAATTTATATTGATGTTAAATGATAAAGTCAATACTTAGCTATTATCGGCCCTAAAATTTAAGGTGTCAATCAAGCGACTTCAAACTAATAGTGACTATTTTGCAGAAAACTTTTTGTTATTTAAATCTTAGTAATTAATTGTCAAGACATTATGTTTGTATTAAAAAGCGATATTTACCTATATAGGAAAAAAGGAAAGAATCTATAAGAGACAACGGTTAAAGGTTACTTATCACTGATATTAAACATTAATTTCGATGTGTTTGATTTGATGTTAGTGTTTAGTGTTAAGTATTGTTGCTACAGATTACGTAAGAACTTTTCCGTGGGCTAAAGTTTCTTATTATCTAATCGAATCTAGAATATACTTACAGAGGTGTATATATCGAATATAGAAAACACGAACTCGTTACAAACATGTTATGGGCGTTGTTTGTACCTTACCTTAAACTCTTGGATAGTTTTTGTGATATTGTTCGGCACTCCTTGATTCCTTTTCTTGTATAACTGGAATGTTGTTTTCTGTTTGTTTGAATGAAAACTTTTGTGTAATTTCGATAAAATATGCCATCATTTATTTGGTTCTTATCTTTGTCTTTTTGACGTGACAACGTCTTATAAATTGGTTTGCCGGGTGACACTTCAAGAAACTGCGTTACGCTCCGCTCACGTTATGCGCTCACAATGAGAGCGAGTGAGAGGCACGCGTCCCTTCCACTCGGGCATGGTTAGCCCGCCTAAGAGCGAGAGAGACAGACATAAAAAATAAAATTTTGTTAATATGAAATTCAGTGCGAGATTCTTTGTATAAATTAATGTTTTAAATATAATTCTTTGTATAAATAAATGTTTTAAATTGTTACTATTATTTCATCCTTCTTCCTACTATACGAATGAATATTCACATTAAAATTATTTTACCACTCAAAGTCGTTGTCACGTAAAACTTTCGCCCGTATACCGACTTTACAGGCAACCAATTTTTTGATGTATCTCAACTTACAAACATGACGCCAGTCGGTTTGGCATCAAGAGACTGTCATAGACTATTGACTGTTCTGTGTGTTCTTTTCTCTTTCGTTCTTGTTCTGTGACAGAATTTTGTGTCATAGACTGTCCAAGAGTTTAAAGGTTGAAACTCTTACCTATAGCTAGTCTCACAAATATTGTTTTGAAACTAGATCTGAACCTTACAAGTATGTATTTGGGAGAAATTATATCAGTTACAAAATTTTCACAATACCTACGTAAAATGTTTTATTTTCCAGAACCCGAATTAGTTCCACAGCGACGGTCCAATGGTACGGTTACTACATTTACTCTTTCAATTACTCACAAAATGAATCATTTAAATAAATAACAACTCTTGCTTCGATATAATAAAGTGTTATTCAGATTATACATCGCTTACAACGTGGATTAAAGTTTACTTAACTCTTTTCTCTTCTGATGATTTCAAACTTTCACACTTTATAAAACATGAGTCACTCAAGACTGATAATGAAACTACAGCGCAACCACCCGGCATGAGCACGTTACCCATCTGAGTTAGTCCGATCCGCAATGTACTTGTATCCTCAAACCTACAGAGCGAAGTAGGTTTGGCGTAATTTAAACATGTCATGCTTTTGTCGTTAGGTACTTTCTGTTCAATGGATACATGTAGATATTTTTTTTTATAAAAACATACACATTATATGAATATCCGGTTCTAATGCAAATAATCACAGGGTCGCGATCACAGGGTTTGTGGTCGAATGCACTGTACCGTAAATCACATCAACAGCCTTTATTAGTCCACTGCTGGACATAGGCCTCCCCTTAGAAAGGAGGTTTTGGCCTACTATACCACGCTGGCCAGACGGGTTGGTATAGGGTTTGTCACCGTGGAGACGGTGAGGAGGACCGGCTTCATGAGGAGTACCGACGGGCGCGGAAAACTCTGAAGCTGGCCATTAGCCGCGCCAAAGAGGAAAAGAGACAGGAGATGCTGGAGGGTCTTAATCGTGACCCCTGGGGTCGCCCTTACCGCGCGGTGCGACAAAAGCTCCGCGCGTCGGGCCCCCCCCCTTACGGAGACTCTCCAGCCCAGCTTCCTGCGAGAAGTGGTTGAGGGCCTTTTCCCACAACGAGCGGAACACACTCCCCCGTCGATGGCCTCCCTGGCCGGAGACGACGGGGAGCACGGGGAGGACAATGTTCCGCCCGTCCGGGATTCGGAGGTAGGGGCGGCTGTTCTACGGATCCGTTCCAAGAACACCGCCCCTGGGCCAGACGGGGTACCGGCCCGAGTGCTGGCCCTGGCCCTCAACCACATGGCAGACCGCCTCGGGGAGGTGTTCGACGCTAGCTTGGCGTCGGGACGCTTCCCTGAGTGCTGGAAGAGCGGGAAGCTGGTCCTATTGAGGAAGCCGGGACGGCCTGCCGATTCGGTCGCGGCCTATAGGCCCATCGTGCTGCTGGACGAGGCGGGCAAATTGTTTGAGAGGGTTCTTTCTGCCCGCATCGTCCGGCACCTCTGCGAGGTGGGCCCCGATCTGTCGGACGCCCAATTTGGTTTTCGGGCGGGGCGTTCGACAGTCGACGCCGTGTTGCGCCTGAGGGCCGTGACCGAAGAGGCCGTGAGCTGTGGCGGCGTGCTGTTGGCGGTGTCATTAGACATCGCCAACGCATTCAATAGTCTGCCATTCAGCTGCATCAGGGAAGCACTCCACTATCATGGGGTGCCAAAGTACCTAAGGCGGCTAGTGGCAGACTATTTAGAGGAGCGTACCGTCGTGTACGAGGACCGAGAAGGTAATCTGAGGTGTCGGCCCATGTCGTGCGGTGTTCCACAGGGGTCTGTTCTTGGACCCCTTTTGTGGAACATAGGGTACGACTGGGCCCTTCGCGCCGATTTCCCCCCCGGGCTGGGTGTAATCTGTTACGCAGACGATACCCTGGTGACAGCCCGGGGGGCAAACTTCCAAGAGGCGGCGCGCCTGGCCACAGGGGGAGTCTCCCTGGTGGTCGGGCGCATTGAGGCGCTGGGCTTACGGGTGGCCCTAGATAAGACGGCGGCCCTGTTATTCCATGGGCCCCGTCGTGGTCCACCCCCTGGCGCCTCAATCGTGGTCAACTCGGTCCTCGTACCGGTTCGGGCCCAGATGAAATATCTGGG